TGCCGGCGAGCGAGCAGCAGCCTTCTGCTGGTGTGATGCATTCGGACGGCGAGATGACCTTCGATTCACTTGCATCCATGGTCCATAACCGGTGAGTTCCTCGGGAGGTGTTGCCGCAGTTAAGGGAATCATCGTTGCAGCAGGGGATTGAAAGATTTGGGAGTCCACACAACGACTCTTTTCATGGCCAATCTTACCACATGAGAAGCAGATGAGGGGTATATTCTCATATAGTATCTTTTGCCATTTTCCATTTAGGAGAAATTTGAGAGCAAGTGGCTTTGACACATCTAATTCCACCGCAATTCTTGCAAATTTGCCTCGTTGTGCAGCCTCCGTGTTGTAATCGATTCGAATGGTACGCCCAAGTGAATTCCCTATGGTTTTGAGGAGATGCGAATGGTAGTATTGGACGGGGAATCCTGGGAAGCGTACCCACGCCACCACGGTCGGGGGGAGCTGTTCATCGACTCTGAATGAAGGTGTCCATTCATGGACCACCAAATAATGGTCGTGGATGATCCAAGGTCCTCCAGTGATGGCCGTTGTGAAGTCTTGAGTATTTGAGAATTTCACCATGAATCCTCCTTGATCCAAATCGACAATTTGCAGTGGTCCGGTTGGCTTCCAGAGATACTTGAGCTTTTGGCAGAGAGCGGAGTACCCAATTGAGCGACCCAACAGTCTTATCACAACTGTGTTCTGCCACGGCGAGCAAAGATGTTGATCATAGCGCTCGGACAGTTGAAAGTCTGGGGATCCTTCTCGAACTCCGACAACGACATCAGTAGGTAAGATAGTAAATTCATTTGGCGAAGCAGTCGTTGCAGCTGCTTGCCCTAATTCAACGATGCGCTTGTAAGAAATGGCAGGTCTGGGAGGAGAATGAGGCAAGGGGGTGGAGTCGCAACCAGACATCTCTGTATCAAAGATTTCTGTTGGAGCGGGACGAGTGGAAACTGGAAGTGGAGGGAAAGCAATTTCTGGTGGACGGCCAGGTGGTTGTGCGCCGGAAGCTATCGAGGAAGGGATGGGAGGATCCATCGGCCGGCGGTTGTTGAATCTCTCTCTGCCATTATGGTTATTTGGGTTGACCACTTTAGGCATGATTTTAAATGTGCATGTAGTAAGTGGGAGTGTGGGTTGTCGAGGTTCTGTTGGCGGGTTAATGGACATGGCTTTGTATTCAATGAGATGGCTGACTAGAAGTATTATTCGTTCTTTTTTATACATAAGGGGTACTATTGGTTTTTTCTTCCTTTCAAAAAAGATAGTTTGCATTACCAAGAAACAATGAGATCACAACATTTATAACTTCGAACGGAGCCAATCGCAAAAATCAAAACCACCAACAAAAGCAGGAAACAAAGAAATGACATTTATTTGAGCCACCATATGAGCTACCCTATTGCTCTCACTATCGACAAATTGGACTACACCATCTGCCTGACCCGAAAGCTGATCCTGAACCTCCCTGAGCACAACCCCGCCCCTACTATCTTGTGCACTCGCAAAAAGAGCCTTCTGAACGACCACCTTAGCATCCCCTGATAGCACACACCTTGAAGCTTCAACTCACAACACCAAAGAATTGCTTCGATGAAGGAAAATAGTATAATAACACTTAAAGTCAGCAGTACCTTCCCACCGATTCTTTCATCAACGACCAGTCGGATGATGTTGTCCCGGAGTTCGATCGACGGGAGGCGGAAGCCAGCTGGCTGGGGATAGGCTGGTGGGAGTTTCTCTTCCTCATCCTTGCTTCCAGGGTAGGTGGGAATCAATCCCCATGTAGTGTTGGCCCTTGGTGGCGGTGGCGACGTTGGTTGGGTGGCCGAACGGCATTGGCGGTTTCAGCTGCAACGACGAAGGATCCAAATGGGGGTGGATGTGTGGCTAGGGTTTGGAAATCTCTACTTGTTTAAGCCCGAGTCCGGACCCTATTGGATACCGGCACACACGTGTTTTGGGCTTCTTTGTTTTGGTTTTCAATGTTTGATCACTTTATCTGCTTGCACTTTCCGCTAGGGCTTGACCTGATCGCATTCTTAATGAATATCTATTTCAAAAAAAGAAAAGCAATTCATTTATCTTATCAATTCGAATCACCTAGGAGTTATGTCATTGCCCCTTGAGTACTATCCTCCACTCCACACATATGTATGCTTAATTTGACGCCGGCCCTAATGTTTGTCCCCATACATATATGAAAAGCAACTCCAACAAAAAGCGTGGTTTGGCCCTCTCCCTAGAACCCTACATATTAATTATATACTCTTGAAAATGGACTCTCATAAAGTCGTATATGTATCATGTTCGTGTTTTTTCAGGTAAACAAAGGGCCGGTACTGTCGCCCTGCTAGAGGTCCATGCCGGCCACAATCAATTGGCGAACTCATGGAATGAATGAACGAACCCAAGTACGTACTTACGCCGTTGTTTTAATACTTAGCTGCTATTATAGCTCACAACTCCCCCGCCACCTTCTATCCCTTTCTGTACGTACGTACGCATGCATAATAATAACACACAAGTACATGCTATAACTTAATCGCATTCCCCTTCTTGTCCATCCATATATGCTCTCCATCTTTTCTTGGCTTCCAAAATGACCAGGAAGAATGAGTAATGGGTACCAAAGATTTCATTTTTATGAACCGGGTTCAAAGTGGCTCGTCCAACTAGGGAAAACTATTAACCCCATGTAAACTCATTTCCTGCCGACAGTTTATATATGATGAAAGTTGGCCTAATCTTGGAGCTGAGGTGTGGTATATTTCAAGGGGTGGGTATAGTACTATAGTATATGTATTTCAAGCAAGGTTGTCAAACCGGTTTATGTCAGTGTGCCGGTTTAGCAAGTGGAATGGTTCGACCAGTGGCACATACCGGTTTGTGCCGGTCAATATTACAAATAAAATTATAAATACTCATATTTAAACATGACATTTAACGTCAATACCTAAACATTTATATTTGAATCCAACAAATAACATCAATATTTAACTTTTATACTCATAAAATAAATAATAAAATGATTTTTAACAATTAAATTCACTAAAATAAGGTCATTTTACTTAGAGATTCGTATATCGATCATGGCGGTCATACCGGTGGTGTCACACCGGTTTTATGACCGGTAACGGTTGAACCAGGTACAACCGGTGGCACGCCGGCCGGCGTAACAACCATGATTTCAAGTGATGCGGTAGTTGACAATGATGTGTTCTCTTTTTAAAAATTAAATTGATTCTTAAATAAGAAAATATCTAACTGGTACAAGTTACAACAGAAGCTCATAACGTGTTTTCATATTTTTGAAAAAGATGTAAAAATACACTCGGTGCCTACACTGCTCAACAAATCTCTCTATCCTAGGTACTATACAATCCTTCACGAACTGATCGAGCTTGTTTGTTTGATGGATTTGGTGAGGGATTTGGATCCCTCATGGACTTTATCCAAAATTCATTGTTTGCTTTATGCATTTAGGGGAAACAAATCTGTGGGTCCCACGAACTTTAAGGGTCCAAATCCGTTGACCCCACAGACTTGAAAGTTCCACCTATTTAGGTGGAAATTGATCATGGACTTTGAAAGTCCATCATTTAAGACCAAACTACCCCTCCTATTTCATTTCTCTTCTCATACCAATGAGGGTCATAAAGGTAAATTTCACTTCATACATACAAATCTAATTAACCAATTCCTTCATGAAATTAAATCTATGAAACAAACAATGATATTTTTCAAGTCCATGATGGACCCAAAATCCTTATATATTCATGGTTTTACAAAACACAAGTTATACCAAAACCTTCATTTTTCAAATCCACTAAGCAAACGACCCCTTAAGGGCTGAGTTTTCGTATAATGGAAAGCAAGTTTACAAACAATAGTAGTGTCCTAAATTCAAATCAACTAGTCTACCACTTATATTAAAAAAATATATATCCATACGCAACTACTACCGAAATTGGATAATCGTTTTTTCCAACAAATTTTGGGTGCCAACCCCCGGGCTCTGTCGCGCCTCTGGTCGTTGGATGTATTTTGATAAACATCGGTCAATCAGAATCGTCAATTATAGTTCTTGATCGATAGCTAGCTAGCTACCGGCTCGACGAGACCAACACGTTGAAATGAGGATAGGAGTTTTTTTTTTCCGTATCCATGTAGGGGTGTCCATTCGAGTTCGGTTTTTCGGGTTTACCCGAAACCGACCCGATTATATACATTTTTCGAGTTTTCGGGTTCGGCTTCATTTCGGGTTTCGGGTTTTTCGGTTTTGGGTTCGGTTTTACTTATCGGTTTTTCGGGTTCCGGCTAGAAACCTCCAATGAATAGAACTCATGTCGTATTTTTAGGCGTTCGGATTTTCGGGTTTCGGTTTTGCTTTAACCGAACCCGATAAGGAATTTTCGGGTTTCGGGTAACCAGAACCCGCAAGTCCTTATTGGGTTCGGTTTTAGTAATTTTCGGTTTTCGGGTTTTGGTTTGGGTAACCGAACCCGACCCGAATTGACACCCCTATATCCATGTAAAGTAAAGAAAATTTGAGGATCGTATCAAACTATCAATGATACATTCATACTTGATTTGGTGCGATCCAATTATCAAATTTGGTTCGATTCTTCTTTAGTATTCCAAAAAAAAAACTCTAATAATCAGCCAGATTTAGTTCACTTGATCAGGTACGATATCGATACGGACCAACTCATTACACAACAACAAGGCCTTCATAAAGCTAACTACTATCTCCCGCTTTGATTCTTCTTCCAGCTGCAAGAGAAAATTTAATGTTAGGTTACCTCCCAACTTCCCCTCTCCCTACCCTTCCCCTCCTATACACAATCAACCAAAAACTGCCCTTTTCGTCCCTTTACTCCATACTTCATAATTACTTTTCCCACGTTCTTGGCTTCCAACAAGAACATCTATTATATTATATATATGTGAAGAATAGCATGTAATAAATAGTAACAACAACAAGATCCCATCTTGGTCATTCCCATTTAACAAAAGAATAAGAAAAAAGCTGAACAATATGGTCACCGCCACCGCCAGGCCAGCTGTAACCGGCGTCAGGATGTCGTCGGTGGTGCCAGCGTCGGTGACCGGAGAGAACAAGGACCGACGCCTCACCGGCTTGGACCTGGCCATGAAGCTCCACTACGTCAAGGCGGTCTACTTCTTCGACGAGAAGGCGGCGGAGGGGCTGACGATTTACGACATGAAGAAGCCCATGTTCCCTTGGCTCCAGCTCTACTACCCTGCCGCCGGCAGAATACGCCGGGGGACGAAGAGCGGCGGCGGCGAGGGAAGGGGAGAGGAGGGGAGGCCTTTCATCAAGTGCAACGACGGCGGGGTCAGGATCGTCGAGGCGTACTGCCCCGATTGTACGGTCGAGGAATGGCTGCGGCTGCCGACGGCGGCGACGGCGGAGGAAGATCGTGACGGTGGTTTTAGGGATGATGATTGGTTGGCGTTTGATCAAGTCCTGGGCCCTGATTTGGGCTTTTCTCCGCTGGTTTATGTTCAGGTAAAAATCAGTTCCTAAACTTTTATAATCTCTTGTATTCCCGTTTTAAATGGGTAGCCAGTCCCATTTGGATACCAAAGTGCATCCCACATCTCAAACTCATATGGGAAACGGGTACCCATTACCCGTACGGGACGGATAACGGGTACTCATACTACCTATAAATACCCAAAGTTTAAACCACTAAAATTTTAACAAAAGTTTAAACTTAACTTGTATTTGCTTAACAATCACAAGACACAAAATACATCCCAATCACAAATACTTGGTTTGCAAATTACACATTCATGAACAATCACAACAGATAGAAATAAATCATTTCAAGTACCAAATTATAAAAAAAAAAGTTTCATTCAACACATCCCAACTCTCTCTACTAATTCACCAAACATGTCAATGAAAGAGTGAAAGGGTAAGGGCCCAAATGGAATTGAAATTGAAAGGGTAAGGGCCGAAATGGCCAATGGGTTTTGAATTGGGTTGGGCTGAATTAAATTTCTGCATTTGTATTGAATGGGTATAACGGGTACCCATATTAGGAATATTCAATCCCAAGTCCCATCCGTTTATAATATTACGGGTAATATGGGTACCCGTAACCCTTAAAAAACGGGACGGGTACGGATATACCCAAATACCCATTTCCCGTTGCCCACCCCTAAATGAGAGAGCTGACTCTTGAATCACGACGAGATCACAGTAGTTAGAATTCAAATTTTGGTTGAGAAAAATCATATTAATCGCGTTCAAAATGATATTCACTTTCAATTTATATCATGGTGGTAATGTCTACTTTTATATAAGATTATACCATGGTGGTATAAAATAAAATGATTGTATACATTATAGTATGAATATATTAGTTACCATCGTGATAGTTTGAATATATTAGTTACCATGTATAATATCATGGCCACACCGTCTAATATCAGTTACCACCATGTACCGGGTGGCATAAATGGTATATCTAGTCCGAAAACAATTTCATACAAAATTTATAGATAACGATGTACATAATTCTTCTATGCAATTTTTTAAATTTTTTGTGTTAAAACGAAAGTAATACAAGTGGTATCATGTATACTAGTGTGGTAATGGATGATAAAAAATATTATCGGAATAAATGAAAAATATTATTTTTTATATTATGAAAAATAAATTAAACATGTATTAAACCAAAAAAAAAAACACAAAGCAAATTAAAAAACAAAGAAATAAAAAAATTTAGACACGTAATCCTTCAAAAAAAGTAGAAAGAAGAATGCTGGGAGTCCAACAAAAACTAGACTTTCAATGGAAGTTGACATAATTGACCGCTCCAACTATAAAATCTAGTAAAGACACGTTGTCGCACTAAATTGTGAGACGTCATCCAATTGGATAAGCACCTATTATTTAATATTGTTTATTAGTTTTGAAGGGGCCATTTATCACGGCCAAGTGTGATAGTGATAAATATGATAGGGATAATATTACAAGATTCCGCCCATTTCAATGTTGGTATCAATAATCACTTAATCAGGTTTCCAAATAAAAAAAAGATCATCTACATATGAATATAGAGGTTATAAAAATATCATAAATATGATAGGGATTTATGAATTCAAGTAGCATCTAAATATCAAATCAATATAAGAAAAAATTAAAATTTTAGGTAATAAAATATCATAATAAAAAATCGGAATACAAAAATATAATTTTCCAATGTTGTTTTTCATTCAAAAAAATTTAGGTATCGAATTAGAAAGTATAAAAACTATAGATACTAAATTATAATATATAAACAGTTCGTGAGTTCAGTCCATAGATACACCAATTCGATTGAATTTGGATTGGATTAGTATGAAATTTTTTGGAGGGAGTAAATTGATTTGGTGCATTGTATTCAAATTGCCGCATCTGCATGCAGCACAACAAAATGTATAGCTCAGCCTCGAGTCTCGACGGCTATACTTTATTGTAATTTTGTGATGTTTACGCAACAGTCTAGTACATAGTCTAAAATTTTATATATATATATATATATATATATATATATATATATATATATATATATATAGGTGGCTACTTCGGTGTATTTTTTTTTTTTGGCATTCAGTGCACCCAATTTTAAAAGTGGTAATAATACATCGAATTTTGAATTTTAATGGGTAGCATTAGTCTAATATGATGATATAATATAGAATCACAACTAATCAATCCATTATCATAACCCCTTAACCTTCAATTTTGAATTCCAACCCAAAATCCCAAAAACCCTAAATTTCTAAACCCTAAACCATTAAAATTAAAGTAAATCTTGAATGATTTTTGTACAAATTCATGTGTTTCTTGTTCATCAAACCACAAGTGATGATTGATATCGTTTTCACATGAATCGCATTCTCAGAATGATGATTATGAGGCGAGTATATTGAATATACCAAAAAAGTGGGTTCACCGAATACGCCACTATGTATATACTCGACAATTTTTCTTATCTTTACCGCGGATGTAATAGAAACAACAAACCATCGTAAAGAGAAGATGAGAGGGGATCCTCACTCAAACAAGGACCCATGAAAGACAGACAAATCCATGATATAATATGAGTGACTGATGAATTCTTGAATGAGCCCTAGCTCTCTGTCAATCTGTGCAGTTGCAAATCATTTATGACCCCGATCGAACCCCAAACCCAGTAGAGAGAATATCTCTGTTACGCCATCGATCTGCCTTGCCTGTCTTGTATCTTATGGTCCAAAGACTAGACTCGTGTCGGCCAGTAAAACTACTACGTAGTACAAGATCATATCATAGTTGTACCTGCAGATTGTGAAGGGGACATGTATCTTGTGGTCCAACACTGAAGACTAGACTGTGGAAAATGTTAAAATCTTAAGTCAAAATATGCTGATTGGGCGATGACATGGCAGGTTGACCGTTAGTCAACGATATTGATAGTCCAACATAACAATCAACTCTCGGGTTTGGTTAATTAAGTAAAATTCAGGGTTAGTTTAAGTTGCACGATATTATATTTTGAAAAGATTGACCAGAATGTTAAATATGAAAAAAAAGTTGAAAGCAGAAAAAAAATATTAATCCTTATTCTTAACAAAATAATACCATATATAACCATGAGTTTATGTCAGAAAAGAATAACCGTACAGTGCCTGTTTACTGTCATTTCTGTTTCCTGTTTTTGAGAAAACAGATGTTGAAAACAGGTGAAAACAACATTTTGTCGTTTTCGAAAACAGCAGGAAGTTACCACTTTCTGTTTTCATAGTTGGAAACGAATAGAAAACAGAATGAAAAGTAAACAAGTTTTCTCGTTTCGGTTGCCAAATTTATGACATGAAAACAGGAAACAGGAAACAAAAATGAAAGTGAACAGGGAAATTTGGTACAAAATTAAATATTTAATGGGCTAGTTTGACCCTACTGTATGTTTTGGAGAAACAGCTTCTGGCTTGAGTTGTTAGAGAAATACTTAAAAAAAAAACAGATGAGTGTTTGGATGAAAAACTATTAAAAGTGTTTTTTTTAATATGAGAGGTCATGTAAAATGACTATAAAAGATTTAGAATATAAAATATGAATAAAATTATAAACAATAAAAAGTAGTAGATATGAATTTTGTTAAATTTTTTATATTAAATAATATAATTTAATCTTGTAAATAAAATTATATTATATTTTCTGAAATACAATTAAAATATGGTAAGTATAATCCTGTAATTTCAAAACAGATTTTTGCAGAAGCTCCAATTTGAAACTTATCCTTATATGTTATACAAAAGCACTTTTCAATTTTTAAAAGTCTGAGTTTGTAGAGTTGTCTGGTCCTACTTCAACTTTTGAAGTTGAAACAAACTTCTAAAATTCGGGCAAACATAGGCAATATATTTACCGACTGCGGAACCAGGATCCCAAGTGTTGGGCTTTCTTCTATACTGTTTTGAGTTTGACTCGGACGTTTTTGGTCTCTGCAGTTTACTTGGTTCAAATGCGGCGGCCTTTCAGTGGGCCTCAGCTGGGCTCACCTGCTTGGCGATCCATTCTCAGCCTGCGCCTTCATCAACACTTGGGCCCAACTGCTGCACGGCCGAGCCACTCCTCTTTCTCTCCACCACCCGGGCTTCAAGGATCCATCGCCGCCGCCACTTCACCGACCCAAGAAGAAGAACCCGTCCTCTCTGAAACGGGTCGACCCGGTCGCCGACTCCTGGCGACCTACCTCCAGCCCCACCGCCGCCGCCACAAGGACTCACACCTTCCGCCTCACAGCTCAGCAGCTAAACGACATCGCATCCGCGGCTGCCTCTGCCTCCACCGCCAAGATCTCCCGTTTCGATCTCCTTGCGGCGATCCTATGGAAATCTGTGGCCAAGATCCGAGAGGCGACGACGGTGACGATCTGCTGGAACAAATCCCCGGCGGTGGGTATGGAGAGGGAGCTTCCGAGCAACAGAATGGCGGTGGGAGCGGTCCACGCCGATTTCGCGGTGGCGAAATGCGAGGTGTCCGAGCTGGCGGAGTTGATTGCGGAGAAGAAGGAAGACGAGAGCGATTCGATCGAGGAAGCGATGTCCGGCGGGGAGTTCGATTGCGTGGTGTACGGAGCGAATTTGACATTTGTGAACCTGGAGGAGGCCCCGATCTATGAGATGCAGGTTAAGAAGGGGCGGAAGCCGGTTTTCGCGAATTGCAAGATTGAGGGAGTCGGCGAGGAAGGGGCGGTGCTGGTGCTTCCAGGCGGCGGCGGCGAGAAGGAAGGGGAGGGATCTGGGAAGACGGTGACCGTTATGCTGCCGGCGAAGCAGTTGGCCGGGTTGAAGGAGGATCTAAGGAAGAGCTGGGGAATTGTATGAGGTGTTTACTGTGATGGTAAACATTGATTTTATCGTTTTTGATTGCAGTGATAATAATTTGTCAAAAAAAATTCAGTGATTATATTTATATCAAGAAGTTGATGGGAGAAATTTTTTAATTTTTAATTTCAAGTGAGCGGTGAGTTGAGTTTGGTATTTGATGAGTGCTAATTATTTGGGAAGATAACAAATACTCAAATGAACTCTCCATGTCAAAGCATGTACGTTGTTGTTATATATATGCCTTGATAGTTGATACTATAAATCACAAATGAATAGGTAATTTTGAGTTTTTTGTAACATTTGACATTGAACATTTTGTACACGGTTTGTACTCGAGTCTAAATTATCTCAAAAGTCCAAAGAACTAAGAATGAAGCACAAAATCGGGGTAAAATACTTTCGGTGTCGGTAAATTTTTACAATGGAGGGACGATACCACTGAACTACAAATAGCGCATTGGCATCAGGTACCATCCAAATTCCAAATCAATAAATTATGATCTCGTTCATATTTGTAACTAGTTTTGTGTCTGCCTATATCTTATTTTATTATTATTTTTTTCAATTGCGGAAGGCTATTATTTAAATTGAGTGTGATTAGGAGCTATTATCATGTAAGAGTCTATAATTCATCATTATTTTGAAAATCATATTCACGATCATAACTTTTAATTGATTTATATGTTAGGCCAAATTTTGTGAGTGTCTAAGATTTATTTTAGTCTGGTGATAAAATTTCACGCAATTGATTCAAATTATCATATATAGTTTGCGAATCAAAATCATTTCAATTTATTTCTCCATTTGATGAATGTATAACTCAATAAAAGTACTAGTTTAAAATTATGGTGGTAGTATACTGTTCAATCAATGAAAAATTTGCCCCCTTGTAGATACGTATAACACATGCCCATCATTCAAATGACGATCCATCTTGCACTCATATAACTATAGTCAAAAGATCAATTGTTGTGCACAGTTCTCTTTTTCATAATGTACTTTATTTATTGACATAAACATCAGCACATATTTGGTAAATAAGCAACTAAGAAATAAACATGGTTTAGATTAACGAAAGGGAGAGAAAATTGCATATCAAGAGCATGTAATTAAGATGTAGTTGTAGTACTATTTACCAATCTATACACCTATAATTGTGTATTACCTTTAACCCTTTTAATAATTATATGAAAATGTTAACTATAGAGATGTCTCCACTTTACATTACCATACAATATTAATTTTAATAACCAAAGATCCAAAGAAAATAGCAGTGTCGACAACTGTAATGTTCCTCCTTATAGTTTATTGCTCATCATCATTAGTACTACAAATAATTAAGTTTTATCTTTGCATCATGCACTTGAGTTACTTCATAGACATTCTAACAAATAACTTATATGAATTAGCCGATGACTAGCATAGACTATAGAGTAACTGATGTAGTTTTATTATAAAATGAGGATTTACTATTTAGCAATGCTGTCAAAACCGAACCGGAGTATGACCCGGTATTGTGAACGGCTCGGACTTTAGTGGTTCAACCGGTATTGAGCCGTTAAAAAACCGTTAGAGAACCGACACCTTATATAAAATATAATATCATAAGTAGAAAACAACTAAGGTAGTAATTTAACAATTTAATGACTAAAATGCAATTTACTTTACAGGTACCATTTAATAAATTTACCACATATATATATAACAACAAAGTAAAAACCCTAACTCTAATCCCCACCAACCCTTGAGAGCGCCGCTCACAGCTCTCCCCTGAACCCAACCACCTCCCCCTCTCTCTTCTTCTCCATCTCTGTTTCATTTCTTCCCAAACTCTTTATGCATCTCTCTCTTACAACCACAATTCACAAATTCTCTCTGCCTCTCTCACCCTTACAGCGACGGAGATGAAGCGACAGGGTTGGAGGACAACGATCAGTTGGCTGAGCTCTTCTCTGCATACGAGGGTTGAGAACCCAACAACAACACTGCCGCCATCGGGAAGGAACATCGAGCTTCGATCGAAGAAGAAGTTGGAGTTCGATGGCGCTAGTGAAACCACAGAGGACGATGGGTTTGCCGGCAGCGGCTGCATCATCGAGAAATTCCACCCCGGCGCGATTGAACCCTAGAAGCTTTTTGTCAATTTTTTTTTTTAATTCTAAACGGCCAAAACCCAAAAACCGGTCGGACGGTTCGAGCGGCTCAAATGGTTAACCATTTCAGCCGCTCAAAAACCGACATTTCTGACCGTTTCGGCTATTGGAGGCTTCCGACCCGGGCTGGTGTCCGGGTGCCGGTTTTACCGATCCGACCGGCCGGCTCGGGTCGGCTTTAACAGCACTGCTATTTAGAATTGATTGGAGATGAGAGATTGTGAAACCCAATCTAGATAGGAATTGTGGAGGAATTAAGAAAGGAAGCGGCTTTAGTGAAGTCAAATTGCATATTTCTGTGGAAAGGTGGTAAACTAAGTTGTTCTAATCATCTATCGGCCAACAATGAAGCATAAGCAAAATGTAGAGAATGATGTAATTTTAACGTATTTACAAAATGTAGGAGAAAAATAAAGTTGGAAAATAAAAGGAAATTTTGCAAACAATGCTAACTTGAGCAAAGTCAAAATGTGAAAAAAGCAACTTAATCACACTTCTATTTTTTCAAAAGACAAAAGATAATTCTTGTGAAACTTGTGTGGAACACTTTAGGTGCATAACACTAAAATTAACAAATGCATAACCACTCCCACATTAATTATATCTTGTTAGTTTGAACTCGAAATACATATTTATTTATTTATTGTTGCATAAAAAGATCAAATAAATATACTATACAAAATGATATTTACTATTATATATTTTGAAAAAAGAACGTTGTTATATTTTAGTCATTTTTATGGTGTAGGAATTATCATATTTTGTTGCAAATATGGGAAATATCGAGAGGTATTCAGGTTACTTAGGCCGATCATGGTGATAGACCGTCATTTACACATGTTTTTACCCTCATACTTACACCGTTTGAGGTGTTGATTCTCGTGTTTTAGGCCGATTTCACGCTAGGTTGTGCTTGTTTGTGTTATTTCAGGACCTAGTACGTGAATGAAGGCTTAGGAGCGAGTCCGGGGTCGATTGGACGCAGAACGGATGAAGGGCGAGCTTTTTGGGGAGTGCACGGGCAGACCAGGAGGCTGCACGGCCGTGCACTTGAGCCATTTGGCCGTGCACCTCATGTCGAGGCCATGCACGGCCAGACCCTGAAGCTTGCACGGCCGTGCGCCTGGCCGTGCAAGGTGGATGAAGGCCGAATAATTGATACGGTGCGTTTTGAGGGTGCACGGCCAGAATTGTGTAGTGCACGGCCGTGCACCTGGCCGTGCAACTCGGGAAAGTCGGTTTTAAAGCCTAATTCGAGCCAAAAGTGGGAGAATGGTGTTTTCAGAGCAAAAACAGAGCCCTAGAGAGAGAAAGTGCGAAGAACTCATCCTAGAAGCCGTCTAAGAGCTGGATTTTATCGAATCGAGCTTGGAGATCGTCATAGGAGTGGAAATCATCGTCCCGGAGCAGATTATCCTCATCGTTATGAGTATGACTAATCCGATTCTTGTTTTCTCTTCTCTCTCTATGGAGTAGAACCCTTCTCTCACTTGGGTATGAAGAACCCTAGTTCCTTGTGTTAGGGATTTGATTGTAATGACTTGGGATGACATTACTGCTTGATTTTAATCGAATGACGCATGTTTCATGAATTGATTTGAGTCTGATCAGCTTGTCTCAATTTCTGCTTCAACCTGAGATAGATAGAATCTGATTAGGTTGTTAGAGCCTCTTCATTCGATAGTAGGAGATTGGCTATACGAGAGTTAGCCAGTTGACTGCTTTGTACTGGTGTTCTTGGCGCCAGTAGTGGAGTTCTGTGTTCATAGCCTCAGCTTTCTATCTCGGTGAAGACTAGTCGTCTGCCGGGTAGTTAGACTGAGAGGGCTTGGTCAGCTTAAGAGATTCCAAGCTACTGTCGGATCTTCCGCAGTCTAATCAACAGTAAATCAACCCAGGGAATTGCAATTGAACCTAACGAAGGGGCTAGGGGGACTCAATCCCGAGTGACTCTTGCCTGCTTTAGAAACCCGAACAATTTACTGCTTTCTTGTTGCTTTTACTTTTTACAACAATCACTCGACTTAGTTTGCTAGATAATAGAGAATCACGGAGTAAGCAGTAGATCTAGACCCCAGGTTGATAATTAAACTTGCCTATACTGCAGTCCCTTTCATTGGTTACACTTGGCCATTGTTAGGTGTTGTGTTTTAGCGTGCCAAGTTTTTGGCGCCGTTGCCGGGGAGCCTCTAGGTTATTGGAGAAACGTGATAATTTGTTACTCTAGCTTTTTATTTTCTGCATTTTCTTTCTTCCACCTGTGTGCCTTCACGGGTTGTTTCTGAGTGTGTGCAGGTAGTGCATGACCCGTAGCCAGTCGGGAGATCTACTACCACTTGACCAGGAGCTTGAACGAACCTGCAGGAACTCCAAGCGGGTTCTAAAGGCGCGACTGGCTGCGGAGAAGGCGCTGTGTAACACCCCGAATTCGGGTGTAGGTTCAATTAGAGTTCGACCGAAAAGTTCGAAGACGGTTGGATCGACGTTTACGTACGAAGTGGTGCAACCATGGATTATGAATAATAATAATAGTTTATTATTATTATTGATAGCAATATAACTATACAAAAAAAAAAGAGAAGGGGAAAGGAATTAGTCCCCACCGTTACTCCCTCTGTCTCTCTCATTCTCTCTCCCTACCCATTAACCCCCACACCCGTTACAACCTCATTAGTTCCCTCAACGTCCCTCTTTTGCCTTTTAATCAAAGGAGCAATGGCAAGAAGCTCCCACACGATCCTTCTCCATTTCGTTCTCATTCCTCCCCAACGATCTAGTAGCAGCTACGGAAGCATCCAAGTTCTGATAGCCCTCAAGCGTTGCCACCCTCCCACGTTGACACCTCCCAAAGAGGTAACACCCAAGCAGTTGCGAAACCATCTCCCTTCGGACGCCAGCTCTAGGATAGAGAGAGACAGTTCGACGGGGGCAAGAGAACCGACGGCTGGATGGATTTACACCAAAAAGGGAAGGTCGGACCAAGGGTTGAAAAACGGCAATGGATTCATCGATCAAGAGGAGCAAGCGATGGACTTCAGGACTTGGCAGCGGCAAAGTAGGTAGATGCGTCGAATTCGGCAAAAGACGAGGTGGAAGCTTATAATGAGATGGTGATTGATTG